AATTTCCCCTTTCTCTTCCCCATTTACTGCGTTTTCTTGTTTTTATTACTCCTAGCTTGTGAACTACTACTTAAGAGATAGTTGCAGATAGTGTAAACAACTATCAGGGGCTGTCATATCTCTTTAGAATCTATAGAAGTAGATGTATGAAACTCCTTGAATAGGAGGAGCCACTTGCTGATTTAGTGTTATCGAACTTGAATTAGTGACTCCCATTGTACAGTTAATTTGTAAAACTTAGATCTGCAGGGTTTTTAATAAGTTGTATCATTATTTCAAGTAAGTAGTCATTGGCTTTTATAGTACCAGTGAAATAATGCAATTTGACATATAATGATTATGGTTTTTCTTCCTCTTGTAGGAGATAACTGAATGCCTCTTAGTACAGTAAAATATAACAAATTTAGAATCTAAGCCAGTTGCTTTTAAAGTACTGTAGGTAATACCCTGTTTATGTAATTCTGTGCAGCTGTATTATGTTTTATTAGGATTCGTGCTAATCCAAATAGAATTTAAAAGTGTAGATGTAACTTGACAATCGTGTTAAAATTTAGTTCGAGGTCCCTCTGACATAGCATTGTTAAACATCTAAAAATGGCAAGAACTAATACTTTTAGTTAGATGGCTCTTGGCTGCAAGATCATTGCCCTTAAGGTTCCTTTAAGGAGAACATAACTGTTTTTTAGCTTCTGAACAGATGATCCTGGGAAAACAGTCAATTTACAAAGGTAGGTCTCCATAAGAACTCTTAATTGTATTTTAATTTCTGGTATATAGTTCAGAGCTCTAGATTTGGTCTGTTAATTTGGAACAGTTCATAGTCTTAATGGCAACTGCAGGTTTTCTGTTAATTGTGTACAGGTTTTCCATTTTATTTGTGTTCCTCCCTAGAACTGACAAGACTCTCAAGATTTGTTTTTTAATCCTATTGTTTGAGTTACTTGTCTAGATGAACTTTCATCTAGATGAACAGCTTTTTTTCAAAGATACTCCATAGAGAACTTGGCATGTAAGGTGATACAAAATGTCTCACATACTTTAACTCAAAACTGTATATTATATCAAACACTAAGGTTTCACGATGCCAGAAGGGAAACAGTAAATATGCACAAGTCTGGAGCGAAAGTTTAGTTTCACATACCCCACTGGTTTTTAAACATCTTATGAACTGTAGAAAGATACTTGATTCTTCCCTCTCCCCAGTTTTGTCATTATCCTTTAAACACATTTTAGTTGTTGCTAATTCCATGTTCCTCCCTTTGCTCTCAGTTCCAACTTGATGCTGTTTCTCATACCCTGACCAACTTATTTTTTTATCCCATCAACTGCTTTTTCCTGCTTTTATTGTTCCACCTTATTCATTTCTTTCTTAAATAATTGGTGGCAACTAAGAAGAGTAAAATCATGTGGTTACAGTAGGCTTAATGTTGCCACAAGCCAGACTTTTTCTTTTCATTTTTATTTAGGTTTTTTGTTTTGTAAATATTCCAAAGGAATGAGTGCTGGCTCATTGATAATCTCCTACATATTAAGGAGGGGAATTTTATTAGCAATCTCAATGGCATTTAGACTTGGGAATGAAAATGCCATTCATTACTAATAGGATTTGCTTAGTACTTTCACTTAACCTAGTACAGTAAAAGAAAGGCTTAAGCGTATTTTATGGTAAAAGTAATGTAGTTTTTAGGATTTTGAAAAGAGACATACAACCATTTGTAGCAGATAGTCATGAAGATAACTATGTATAATTTTGCTGTAAGTGATATGCTGCAAATTCAGTTTGTTTCATAATTCATAAACCAAATATGAAGGTTGCATGATTAAAACTAGTATGTGAAACTGATAATGTGAGGCTTTGACTTTTTCTTTAATTGACTGTAAATTGTGTTGGCAACACAATGTCAGATGTTCATGTACTTGAAATGTCACGTTAGTTTGATAAGAGATGGCTAGATATAAGTAAAGTCTAGACATAGATAATTTATATGAAAGGCCATTGTTCAACTGCAATGGAAGCAGTTTAAGTCAGTTAAGTATTTAGATAGAATTTTAAATGTGAGCTGTGGAGTACTGAATCTGGGGGAATTTCTTGAGTTAATCAGCTCCAGAACTTCATATACCTCTAAACTGAGATAAACTGGGCTTGAGGCTTATATTTAGCTGCCTGTTACTTGTGCTTCTGAGATCTTGGTCCAGTTAACTTGGACCATTCACTACATAATATCGTTGATCACGTTACCAGTAATTAGAGCATCTGAGGGCACAGCGAGGCTTAGATGACATAGTTGCATCAGACTAGATGTAAAAAAGCAGTGCTGGCAATAACATTTAAAATTCTTCAGCTCTTTAATTGACAACATCTCAAGTGCTGACAAAGATGTGGAGCAGCTGGAACTCTCAATTGCTAGTGGGAATGCAGAGTGGTACAGTTACTCAAAAATGGTGTGGCAGTTTCTTACAAAGGAAAACCATGCACCTACCTTACCTGTTAGGCCATCCTGTCCCACTTGTAGGTATTTATCGAAGTGAAATGAAAATTTGTCCACTCATAAACTTGTACTTGTATATTCATAATAGCCCCATATTGGAAGCAGTCCAAATGCCCATTAAAATGAGAATGGGTAAGTTTTGTGTGTGTGTGTACAGTACTCATTAATAAGGAAGGAATTACTGATGCATGCAACATCATGTATACATCAAGAAAGCATTTTTCTGAGTGAAAGATGCAAAAATCTACACTTTCACTTAAATTTTAGAAAAGGCAAAACTGTATAGTGATAGTAGATGGTGAAGGTGGTTAATAGGAACATCAGACAATTTGGGGGAGTGATAAAGTTTTTTATTACGATTTTGATGGTTCCAAGACTATGCATGAACTTGCCAGAACTCATCAAATTGTACATTTAAATTGGTGAATTCATTTGTAAATTATACCTTTAAATTCCTTAGCTAGTTACACGGCTGTCTCTTAAGTATAGAGATTTACAAAGCTAAATTTTAAAAAGTTTAACCATACCTTAATCCTAGGCTAGATCTTGTTTGAGAATATCAAGTGAACAGATTGACTTTGTTACAACTCTTCTTTTGGTTCATCTTTGTTGGGCTTTGGTTGATTTTGTGAAGCAAAGGGAAGAAAGACTCAGGTAATCTGAGCACATGAGTGTGAGTTCAACGAGTAAGTCAAAATGTTAAGGTCAAGTTATTTGAAGTCACAATGCAAGTAAACTTTAGGATGCTGTGGCATTTTTGATCAGGGTCATGGTAGCTTTGAACAAAAAGTGATAAAACAGTGAAGACTGCTATCTGTCAGAGATCAAAACATTATTTTTAAAACCTTGTGGAATATTGCTACCGAGAGAGTTCTGTTATTAATCCTTGTCCTGGTTGGTGTAGGATGTTGGCTAGTTCTGTTGAACACCTCTGGAATCTAAGGAAACCCATTTATATCAAGGTGCTAAACTGCTCAAATAGACAGCATTTTATTTCACAATGGTAACTTTAAAATTACAAACTGTATTTCAAATATAAAAGGACTGAAAATGACCATGTTTAATATAAACATGTTGACATTTGAAAAATGTTAAGTACAGCTAAAGCATGCCTCACACAGTCATCTTGAATTTTACCATTCTGATTGTGTGGTTTTCTGCTTTACCTGCACATTTATGTCTATGTAAACAACTTTGTTTACACACCAAATTTACATATATGGAAGCTTCACTGAATATATCTTTTGTAAGTTTTTTTAAGTTAAAATAATGAAATTGGCAGAATCTAAAATGTTTAAGGGACTGATTGGTGTCCTCTTGGAGTCTTATCTCACAAAACCCCTAAATTCTTATACCCCTAAATTCTTATTAGGCAAACAATATAAAATGAGAAAAAAGGCATGAGAATTAAGTATAAACGTAAGAAGAAAGGTTTGTTCTCGCCTTACTCTAAATCTCTAGTCTTCAGTTTGTGTTTTCAGTTCATTTTTAAATTAATACTCACTGTAGAATTGATTGTTAAAGTTGTACTCGATTATACTTATGAGTCATTTTATTGCCTGTTAGTTGTCACCTTAACTTAATTTTTGTTTTATTAATCCCAAGCCAAAACAAAATTAACTTTTTGTGATGTAGTTTCACATGGATAGCCTACTGATTTAGGACAGTTGTGAGAAAGTTTGAAGGGTGTGGAAACAGGAAGGGATTTTCTGGAGAGGGTCAATGGTAAGTATTTTGAATTAGAAATCTTTCTGAGGTGAGTCATACTGGCTTAAAGGTTGTTTGATACAACTTTACCTGTTTTGATGGTTGTGGTTGAAGATCATGCACTGTGGTATAAGTGGTTTTTACTGAATACCTGTTATGTACCACTTGTTGGGTGGATTTTTATCCCCAAGATTTATAACATTGCTGTTAATTCTGTAATAGTTGTACGTTCTGTTGAGTTTAATAATAATGGCCATGACTGTTTAATGCAAGATAATTTCTTAGGTCCATCCACTCTCATTTTGCTGACCTTCTGTCACTTGTCACTGGTGTGTGCTTATATGTATACAAAGTTGTCCTCCCTTCTAATTATTTATGGTCTTGGAAAAGCCTGTTACACTGTATGTGCAATGAATAAATAAATAATGAATGAATGAATGAATGACATTTGGGTCTGGGACTCTTAAGAATCTGAGGGGGAAGTACTTGTTTTTGTTCATAAGACTCCCTATCTTTACATTTAATGAAAAACATTCAAATACTTTTTTGTGTGTGTGTGCTCAAAGAAGAATGGTATTGTGGAAGAGTTGGATTCCAGGTGGTAGTGTATAATATATGTGCTGTTTCTGAATGGGTGCCCCATTAATGTTAAAACTAATTCCCTCCAAAACATTAGTTTTCTGGATATTGTTTGAAGAGATCATTTTCAGTAGATTAGTTCTACTAAATAACTGTTGGAAATCCAACATTTTTTTTAACTTGAAAGGTTTTATCTTGCCAAACTTTAACTTTTCTTTATTTTAGAACAAATTCTGTACAACATAAAACAAGAGTATAAACGCATGCAGAAGAGAAGACATTTAGAAACTTCTTTTCAACAGTCAGATCCGTGTTGTACTTCTGATACACAGTCACATGCATTTCTCCTCAGTGGACCAGCTTCACCAGGTAATAATAAACTTAGTAAGTGGACAGAAATATTATTTATTTAGTATGGGAAAAGGTAATCCCTTTTTTAGTCATTCAAGCTATTTTTCCCCTTGATTTTTAAAATACATTTACGTAATACATGATCTCTTAAAAATAGGTACAAAATAAATAATTGTCACCTGGATTTGTACCACCCAGACAGCCACCTGTATAGAATATCCCCTAAGTGGACTTCCCTATAAGTGTTGTAATATGTAGACTCCGTTAAAAACAATAATAATATACTGCTTCTCTGTTAGGTATAGATGTACCTTGCCATGGCTGAATGAATACTATGTCATTTTATGAACTTCCTATAATTACCTAACAATTAATGATAGATTATTAGATGCCATTTCTGCTACTACAGTATTTACAAAGATGTCTCTGTACCTATACCCTCACACACTTGTCCAGTTAAGATAAATTCCTAAAGGATTATTTTGATCCTATATTTACCTATAAATTTAATCCTCTCTTTACTTACCTTTTGCTGGAGGGAGTAGTTTGGAAATACACTTTTTTTTAAGGAAGAAAAATGAGGCCTACTTGAAGTGAAGGGAAGGTAAAGCTTTTTAGTGAAAAAGAGACATTAAAGTAGCTCTTAGCTTTAGTAAAGTTCTCAGCAAAATAGTTTTCCTTGAGATAGTATTGCCTGCCCTCCTTACCTTCCCTGCCAGCCGGGATAGGAAAACCTGGACTTTTTAAAATACATTAAAAAGCTATAAAAAGTCAAAATTAGATTAGAAAACAAAATTGTCAAAAACAAATTTGGGGACCAGGTCCAAGTGGGTGAAACACGGTAAGAGGAGAGGTGAGGGGAAAGACTAGACTGTATTAGCAGGAAATCAAGGTTATCATCATTCAGTAGTCATTTTACTTAGAAGATCAATTAACAAAGCATAGCAAATAAAGATAGTTATAGACTAAAGTAGTTACGGACTAAAGCTGGTATACTTTATTCTTGTGATGGACACAGTTCTAACAAGCATGGTTAGTTAACTGGTCCCAGCTTTGCAGGTTATAAAGAGCAAATGAAAATAGGAATTGGGGGTCCCAGGGGCAGATGTACAGAGCAGGACAAACAACTGAGAGCAAATTTCTGTGTTTGTGCATAAAATACTTGCAGCAGTGTTAAAATGGATGGCTATCATAATCTTGAGCTTTCAGAAAGATTAATTTCAGATGTTATATTTAAAGAAAGAATGATGATTTTGGAAAATCAAAGTGCCTTAAGTAGTAAGAAAAATGCATTCTGAAGAAATCTTACACATCACAGCAGCTGAGTTGCTGATCTTTAAGGACCCTGAACCATAAAGTTTAATACTGAATATTAGGAATGTATGCTCAGTATTTTTACAAGTGGCCTCCTCACTAGTATTATTAATTAAAAAACAAAAAAAAACATAAGTTTTGTTAGTATCTTGTAGTTTACTCCACTTACTTTCAGACTTTTTCCCTTAATATTTGACTGCATACATTTTGCTGTGTTTTTCCAGTGTCAGTTGATAGGACTAAACCTTTTAACTGGGAAATACTGTGCTAAAAACTGATGCTTTCTATGATGGCTCTCAGTAAGGTACTTTTTGTTGTTCATGCTGTACATAGGGACTTCATCTGCAACATCCTCACCATTAAAAAAAGAACAGCCCTTATTCACTCTACGGCAAGTTGGGATGATTTGTGAACGTTTGTTGAAAGAACGTGAAGAGAAAGTTCGAGAAGAATATGAAGAAATATTGAACACAAAACTTGCAGGTATGAGAAGAATTTATTTTAGGATCTCCTAGAAACTCACTGTAAGAAATGAATTATTTCTCATGTGTCTTCATGTCAGTTAAATTACTCTTTTAAAACACTGGTACAGATGTTTTTTAAGAACACAGAATTTCAGTTCAGTTCAGGAAAGGAACCTTCCTATATATAGCTCATGGTCCTCCTTAATGACCCATGAAGTAGTATTTGTTAGGCATTCAGATCAGCAGCAGTATTAATAGAACTAGACTTTTCTTTTGGTGCACCCTATGCTAAACACTGACTGGCTGTTTATGTCACTTTGTGGATTTTGGTCTTTATATCTTTCATGATAATTTTGCTGTCAGTGTAGACATTTGAAATAATCTGGCACTATATACATCATTTTAGAGTATCAAATTGTAGTCTTGTTTTAATTAACCAAAAAATTTTTAGTGAAATCTGACAAAGTTCAGTAAATAAAATTTATTACATTTGATGACTTAAACAGAATTTCCTCCTTGGTTTCTAGGCCACAGATTTTGCTGGGTACTGTAAACTGTTTGATTCTTAAGGAGTTAAATTAAGGTGCTAATATAGGCAAGAGAATTTGCTTAGTTATATAACATCATTTTCTGTGGCATCTGATTGGGTTACAGTTGGATGTTTTTGGGTATATCATAAAATTTTTCCTCTCACTGCAGTAAATTGCTACTCATAGATATTTAACAATAACCTTTCAGAGTAAAAAGATAACTTTATTTGAAGCCTTTTATTTTTAATAGGTTAGGAAATAAGCTCTACCTTGCATATACACAAGATCATGTGATTTGGACTAAAATGTAGGTTTCATAAGTTCCATGCTCTTTCCATTTGATACACTATTATTACTTCTGAGGTTTAATGTCTGATTAAGTGCCAACTAGAATTATTTCACTGTACAAGTTGAGTTTTTCAGTTTATCTGGCTTTAATATGTTAGTGCATTTTGCAGATCCTGTAACTGACACGAACCTTTATTTATAGAACAATATGATGCATTTGTGAAGTTTACGCATGATCAAATAATGCGACGATATGGAGAACAGCCTGCTAGTTGTAAGTATTTCATTTTTAAACTGAAAACAAGATAGTCTTTTAAGGAGAAGACATTCATTTTAATTATCTTTATACCTAGGAAGATAATTTTAAAAAATCATGGGGAAAAAGCTTGGAGGGAATCAACATCAAAACTTTACTGAGGCTTAATTTTGGTTACTTAAATAACTAGCAGTATTGGGGATGCAGGTCCCCAATTGGTATGTGTTTGAATTTGACCCGGACTTTGCACTAATTTTCCTTTTCCTCCCTTTTCAGATGTTTCATGAATCACGTTTTCTGCATTTGTGGGCTGCCTTGTTCCTTGTTGAGTTGTTGCAAGAGGTCCCAGTTATGACGTGCAGCAATGCCAATACCCCCGTGAAAACAGGTTATTTCAAGCTTTCGTCAGTGGCAGCCACTCTTAGGCAGCAACTGGTTTTGGAAATTCCCCTGATGTCAATACCATCCGGATGTGGACTTTTGCTACCTGTATTAATGCCAGTGGCCTCATTTGCTGTATCATTACAATTTGGCTTCTTATAGTAATATGTTTGAAAAGGATTAAAGCTGGTATTCTAAGAACATGCCCTTCACTGGTTGTGTAAATAAAACTGTAGAATGACACTTCAGATGAAGTTAGTGTGATTTTAATTGTGCACTACAACCAAGCTGTAACCAGTTGTTAATAATTTAGAATGTAATCCCAGGATATTATTAAGCAAATAGCCTTACAGTGAGCGCTTCCTGTGAAATAGTGAAGGAGGAGGGCATTTCTGTATTCCAGGACTTCTTGGGGTTTCAGAATGGGTTTGAATGGTTTTCTTTCTTTTTTTGGGTAGTTTTTATTTATTCTTTCAAGCCTTTTTACAAATGTTTTTTGCTGCATTTTTTTCCCAGTGTATCATTGTTTTACTGCCCTTGTAGTACTGGAATTTAGTTGGAAGAATAAAACATTTCTAATCTGCTTTAATGTACAGGTGGATAGTATTGAATAAAGCCAGTGTTTTTAAATGTAAGCTTCTTCCAGGATTTGGTGAAGTTAATTTTCTGATAAGATTTTAAAATCAGTCTTCATATACCAAATAATCTAAGATTTGAATGCTGTCTTCAAAAAACCGAATTCTGATTCCAAATTGTTTCTCTTAAAACTGACTGTGTGATAGAATGTTACATGATCAGTTTTTGACAGCTGTAGAATCACCTTGAAGATACCAGTAGAATCCAAATTTGTTTTTTTTAAGGATATATATATATATATACGTGAAAGCATGATTTAACACATTTAAGTCACTTTCCATGCATGCTTTCCATTAATAAGGTGAGCAAAAATAAAAATACTAGTGAATTCTTTTGTAGAACTGTATGTTTCCACTAATTAAACCAATCATAAATGAACTGGAACATATATATTTATAGCTGACCTAATTAGTGGAAGAAAGAAAGAAAAAGGATTTTTTTCCCTTTTTAATTGATTATATTTTACCAATTCTTTGTTTAAAACAAGGCCAAAAAATGGTATACTGTATAGGGCTTTCATAAATCCTCAGGTAATTCATTTGCCCATTATGTGTTTGAGAAACATTGGTATAGCATAATGTGGCCATAAATAAGGTGGATAATTCTGCCTCGTTTCAATGGACTAACGCAGATATTCTCAACTTCAGCACTACTGACAGCTGAGACCAGATCACTCTTCGTTGTGGAGGTTGTCCTGTGCTTTGTAGGGTGTGTGACGGTGTCTGTGGCCTCTACCACTAGATGCCAGTAGTGTTCTCTCTCAGAGTTAACAACAGCCAAAAGTGTATCTCCGGATACTGCCAGAGGAGAATGTTGGGAGGAGTTAAGACAGTCCCCAGCTGAGAATCACTGGTATAATCAGGTAACATTTTTAGGGGAATTCAAGCAGTAAGTTGAACTACCGAGGAGTGGGAGTAGAGTGAATGTAAATGTTTTATCCCTTTTTAACCCTAGTAAGTACAAAATGATGAACAGTCTTTTAATTAAGCATGTGTGAATTTCCACATACATTTAAATTAATAAAAGAACTGGTTTTATACTTGGATAGCAAGATATATTAAAAGGGGAGTCAGTGCTGGCAATCTGGAGCCACAGTAATGTGGTTTTAATCCTAGGTTAAACTTTGATCAAGAATGAAATTTTTTTATAGCCAAATTTCTGCTTATCATTATACCAAAAAATCCTAGCTTTATGGGCAACTTCCTGATTTTAAATACTGTGTAAGGTAATCCCAGAAAATAAAATTGTGGGCAGTTTCTTTGATTTAGTTATAATTAGATGGATCTAGTAGTTGATTACTCTTGTCCAAAAACCAGCCACGATTATGTTGGTTACTTAGGGATTCTGAATTACCAAAGATCCTTGAAATTGCTTTTAATAGGTAAATAGCTACCTATTAAATTAGAATTTAGTGTGTTAACAAGTCATCTTACTCTTTTAATAAGAGGCAGTGCTGCTATTGTGCTGTACTCAGGTTACTGTAATGTGTTGAATAAATTGCTGATTTAACAAGGGCCCATCACCAGGTGTAAGTCTTTGTATTTTTGAGGAAACACACTAGGTGATAATGAGAAAAATAATTACTGGAGGCCTAGAATGTCAAAGCTATCTTTGGCCTGTGGTAAGAATTTATATCCCTAGAGGAGATGGTTTCCAGATGAGACAATGCATTAGCAGTATTTAACTGGAGAGCTTTCAGGAAAGAGTTCTAGGCTCTACCCCCAGACTGCATAGAAGGTGGAACTTCTGAACACTTAATGTTGGAATCTGTTTGATAAGCTCCCTAGATAATCCAGGCAGCTGGATTGATTATAGGGTTGAAAGTAAGGTTCCAGTCTCCCTCTACCCCCCTTTTCCACCTTTTTATTAGGAAAAAATTTAAAAATAGAATTGCTGACTTGATGGAATGATCTACTTAGCATGAACAATTTAATTTGCCATACTTGCTTTGTTTCAAAAAGAATGTATACATGATGCACCTGCTAAGAATAAGGTTGTTCTATATAACTTTGATACCATTATCCCACTTAAAATAGTACTTCCCTAACTTAATATCGAGTCCATATTCAGATTTTCCCATTTGTCCCCAAAATGTCTTTGCAGCTTTTTTCCTCCCTAAAACAGGATTCATCAAGATTCTGACTTTCTTGAACTACTAGGCCTGTCGTTTTTATTGAAATGCTTCTTTGTGTTGTCATCAATATAACCTCCTCTGTACTTTTGAAATTCGGTAAATTGGAAGTTAGGTCTAAAGTTTTTATTAGTTTCAGGTTAAACCTTTTGAGCAAGATGACGCTCTGATTACATATTACATCACACAGTGTATGGCTTTCCCAGGGCTAGTGATAAGTTTGAACAGTCGTTAGGTCATCTGGTGGGTGATTCTACTCAGGATTTGTCTTTACTACTCTACTACTATTAGTCACCAGTGATTTCCACATTGCTAAATGTAACCAGTATTGGACCTTGAAACACTTCAGTTAGCTGGCAAAATACCACACTTGCCTGATTGTTGTCATCCTCTATTTGCTGCTCAGTCTTACCTGGTTCTTCTGTATAATTTTTTTATTTGCTATTGGCCCAATCCTCATTTCTCTGAACTTTAAAACAGCTCTGCTGGGGAGTTCCATCTTGGGTGGTGTCTTGCCTCTGTTCATACTCTGGTGATCACATCTAATCCTGGACGTCATCATATTCACCTGTGTGACATTTCCACTCGACTATATCATTGAAGTCTCAAAACATGTCCAAAACCAAACTCCTTATTTTTGCTTTCTAAGCTTTTCCTCATCATCTCCATTCAGTTAATGGTTCTCTGTTCTAGTTTCTCAACCAAAAAGTATCTTTAATTCGTGTTTTTCACCTCATCTTGGTTCTAAAATCTCACCATCTACATTATCACCCCCATCCCAGACATTACCATGTCTTGGTCTGGATGATTTCATGGTCTCCCACTTGTCTTTGTTTTGCCTCAATTTTCTCTCCTTAACTATCCCGCCTATTCTCATAGAAGAGTAATCCTTTAAAAGTCTAAGTGCTTTAGATGGCTTCCTATACCTAAACAAAGGTTGAAGACCTTACAGCGGTACCGTCCAGGGCCCTGAATCGCCTCACTCCGCCCACTGCATCGGGTTCCTCGTCCCCTGGCTCGCTTTGCCTCTTCCACCAGCCGCCTTTACTGTTCCTCCAGTGGAGTTTTTCTTAGGACCTTTATGATTACTGTTCTCTGCCTACAATGAATTCTACCATAAAAGTTTATAGGTCAGTCTTTTACAAACTTTGAGTCTTTGTTTAAATGTTATTCCAATGAGGCCTGCTCTGACCACTGTCTAAAATGTCAGCATGATTTGATACTCTGGTTCTTTCTGTTTTTTCTACATACACACATATATATATAATTTGTTCTACTCTCTGCTAGAATGTAGTGAGGGCCAAGATCTTAGTGAAGCTATCAAAAGTGCCTGGAATGGTTGCTCAATAGGTATTTGAATGGATTTCAAATTGCTTCGATTCAGAGTTTTTCAGATGAGTATTTCATTAAAAGATTTAGTGAATCAGTGCCTCATTTGTAAGGTATTTTGTGGTTGAGGTCTTACAGTATTAAGGAGTGGACACACAACTGAGCTGACAGTTCATAGACTGGCTTGCGGGGTTTGTGCTCCATTAGTGATTACCACAAATGAGCTTCATGTTTTAATTGCATAGCTTTTTTGGGTATGCACTATGAAAAGTTTTCATCTGTGACTGTCACCTATTCTTTTTAAGTAGACAGTAAGGGGAGAAAAAAAGTGGTACAGTGTATGACATGCATTTAGGTATCAGGAATTCAACTAAGTGCCCAGTGTATTAAAAATAATAAAGCAGGGCTACTGCTTAGGGTGCCATAGATGTGAATCTGCTGGTCTGTGTGAGATCAGTTTCTCTGTACCTTACAGTGTAAGCATTTTGCTATCTGAGTATTGTTGAAAGAAATGGTTTCTAAACATGATGATATCTGGTGCTCATCAGCACCATTTCAAAGCTGGAGGAAGTCATGTTGTAGGTGTTGATGTCCTCATAGTAACAGGACATGGATGTTAGAAAACCTTTCTCATTAATGATTGCCTCACTTGAATAGGCAGTAGATGAGAAAATCCTTAAAATCATCCACATATTCTTCCCTTGGTTGTACCAAGCATTGTTAAAAATGTCAAATGTGGTTGAGGGCATATTTGACTGGAGGGAAATTACTATCAGAGAATTGAGGTAATAAATATTGAGCTAGATGTTGTGAAGATAAATCACAGAGACTTCACAACAGAAATTTGTTCTTTGATCATAACCATTTGGTAGAGGATCTGCTCTATGCCCTCAATGACCCCTGAAGATGACAGAGGCACTGCCTTTAACATGGATTTCAAGGTATCCAAAGCCACTATTTGTCCAGTTTCTTACGGTTAGTGGTGCTTATATACGTGTATCATAAATCCTTAATTTCCAAGTTTACAGCCATTTGTGCATATGTTTAAGTTCTGCTGCACAAGAAATCCTGCCATCTTTCAGATGAAGACAAGACATTTAATATAACTTAACTAATGCTGTTCTTGTAACAGAGCTAGACACTTTCTGCTCTGGTTTGCAGTTGATTGTTTCTGTTATCTTGGGCTTTCCCTGTTTAACACTGGCAACATTTTGACTGTTTTGGGGATATATTTCACCTTAGTATTTTCAGGTTTTTGGAGTGGCAAGACTGGGGAGCAGTTACCCAGTAATGTCACAGTCTCAGCCCATCATGTTGCCAGAGGGCTAAGATACTCTTATACTCATATAATACCTGCTTTACACTCCAGAATTATGAGATTTAAGTTATAGATTAAATTTGTGTGTAATTTTAAGTTATGTATTTGTCCTCAGAGCACAAAAAATGACTGCAATTATGTAGTTGTTACAAGGTTTGTGAATCACAACAGTTTTTACTGAAGTTGGTCTTTTTACTCCTGGTCATATTTGCATGGTAATCTTGGAATGTTGGTGAATAGTCTCAAAGAGACATCACAGCATTCTGTCATGGGTAGAACATTAAGTAATGCACTTCAGATATCTTCACTGCCTTGAGTCCTGTCATGAAAAGATTCAGGTGTTACTTTACTGGGCCTTACTTCCTTATCTGGGCTTTATAAGGTTGAGATGTGATTTGTACAGGCCTTAGAGGCTCTAAGACTCCACGATGGATCATCCTGAAGTAGAGTATTTACTGCATTTAAGCATAAAGCCAAACAACTTGGGATTTTTTAAGTTGTAAGACTAAAGGAAATGGGGCAGCAGAGGCAGTTTTATAATCTAGTCACTAAGAAAAAGAAACCTTTAGGGTATTTATCTTACTATACAATTTGCTAAAATGAAAAACACTGGTACGGGAAAATGGGGAGCAGGAATAAGTACCATTAGATCAACTGCAAATAATTTATAATCCTGGATTAAAGGAATTTATCACATTTGTACACTATGTTCAAGAACAATTTATTCAGTGTTTAGTAATGACAATGAAAATTACAGTGATAACATGAGGCAGGTTTTAGTTACCATGCAAGTGCGCTGAAGCATCTGAAGCACTGCACAGGTGCTCGGATGCAGCCCTGGCTGGGATCAGCAGTCTGCCCTCTGGTTAAACATCGCACAAGAATGATCATTTATCTTGCCAAAACAGTCTTCCTCCAGTGGCATGTAAATCTGACAGGTCTCCTTTTTCTCTTAAGCTAAATGTGATTCTTCTGGCCTCATTCATGTGCCTTCTAGCAGCCTCCCCATGTTAGCCTGGCCACATGGTCAGTCTTCCGTTGGGTAGGTTTTATAAATCCCAGAAGTTCTAGTTCAGAAACAGCTCTAATAAACCGAGCACTGGAGGCTGTAGCTAAAGAAATTCACCATGTTGTATTTTGGACATAAAAAGGTTAAAATCACAATGTTAAAACATTAGTTGATAAACTGAAGAATGGTTCAAATATATACTCCTAAATGAAACTAATCCTTAGTGGAGAACATTAAATATAATCAGAATTCACTATCAAGACACAAATGGAAAAGTGCTTAATGCTTACCTAATTTTTCACACAGTAGGAAAATTGCTTCCCCTACCCCCAACTGCTACAAGTATATTAATAACCTTAGAAAAATAGAGAATTCAATAATGACAGTTTTTGGACATTCCTGGTGAGTTTGAATTGTGACCTTGATAAGCATTTTAGACCTTGATAAAAGTTTTTAGACGTGGTCTCATTTTAGATTACATTCAGAGTATTTCGAAGTGTTATTCTGGGATGGGATGGTTAATATTAACAAGTACTAATAAGGTTAGGAGTACAACTTTCTAAATATCTGCTTTAGATTTAAAGAAAGTAAACAACATTCTCTTGTATATATACTTGGAGAAATGATTGTAAAAGGATACTGGATGATCTCATTCCTTTCCTCAGAGGTTATAGAATTTGCATCCATTTTTTCAGCAGCTGTCACAACTGTTGCAAAAGCCTTTGAGAGACAAGATAGAAGAAAACAGAAATCTCTACCATTGCCAAACATCTTTTATTGCACTTGCTGGCTCTATTAAACCAGGTCAAGTGCTGCTGCTAATAGGCAAATTTTTTTTACACCAAATTTCAGATTCTCAGAATTACACTGCTGATCACTTTAAATCAAGTACACATTAAAAAAGATAATGGAATGGTTCCTGTATATTACCTTAGGTTTCAGAAAACTAAGCAGTATGTAGAGAAAAACAAACAAAACTAGTCGAAGTTGAAAAGCAAAGGATTACATGTATCCTCTATTCCCCAACCTGTTAACCTCAAGGAAAATGCCTATTTTTCTTAGAGGCCATCAATTATGCATATTTTTAAAAGGTGGCAAGACTTTGCCAAATGGGGTCTTCAACAGAGTTAACTCTAATATTCTGAGGAGGGAAAGAAGTTACTTTCCATTGGCTTGCCCAAGTGTTCCTTGTACTTCCTGATTGCTAAATTCCATGTTTTTTTTCTTCTATGCAATAAGAGAAATGCTAGTTACTTATAAACTTTTGTATTTTGTAGAGTAACAGAACTGACCTAATTGTTCTGCTTTTACTTACTGTTAACTGGGGGGTTAGATCATGTACTTATTTTGACCTGGCATGTATGCAGAACTGGGTTGGCTGAGCCCTGTGGGATCAGAATGCAAGGAACTGAGGGGAACGTAGAGCAGTTAGTTGCTTTTCTGGAGGAACTTTTCAAGTATGAAATCATTTATGCTTTCCAAAGGACAGGGCATTAAAAAAAAAGCTTACAGTACCAAAGGTGTAAAAACATCGCAGAAAGTTGACATGGACGGTTAGGCAAATAGACAGCTTGCTAGTCCCCCATGACCCACCTCTGCCCAGTCCACAAGGTTGATCAGCCTGCTGTACTCCAGGTGCAGCTTATATGCGATGCAGATGTCGGGGGCAACATTTGGAATGCAGCCTTCTTCGCTTTTCAGTGCTTCATTCTAAAAATGACAGTAAATCTACGATGAATATCTTGTTAGAAATGATAAGGAAATTTTGTAAGCCAGTAAATGGAGTCTTTGGTTTCCTTTATTTAGGGAGCTGCGTTTAGTCTCAGCAGTTAGCTAGTTCTTGTTCAGTATAGGTCTTAGTCAGAAGAATACTCCCATCAGAAGGAAAATGTGTTTTTCATTTTAATCACATTAATTTTTGAGACCCTAATGGGCTTGTTTCCATAAAGTTTATGGAATTATCTGTGGATTTTCAATAAAATGCCACTACCAACATTTTTAATTACCTGAATTCTAGCAGTGACTATACTAATAAACACCAGCACACCATTACAAGGGCTCTAAGTTAGCTCTCAAAGAAAAGACTGTGGTGTTAACATCGCAAATCTTATACCTACAAAAACTTTTTTTTCTTCAACTTGTGTGAAACTCATCATTCTTAGAAAATTTCTCTCATACATATGGAGATTATATATCCTCACAAAGATTGCTACACATGTAACAGTTCTGTCTTCTGTGACCCACCACTAGCCAAAAGGACTTTTAATTTATGGATATTTGGCTTTTAATATGACATTATTCAAGCTATCTACTACCACCAAGATTGAAAACCACTGATCTATCTCTTCCTGCTCAGTAGTTGCTTGTAATGTTAGTTTGGGCACCATTTTAGAACAGGAATCTGGTACATTGGAACACTTCATAGGTTTTATGGAGTGACTTAAGTAACTTTGTGGCAACATTTATAGGCACTTAACAGCTGATAACTTATTAACCAATTAATGTTAACTTCCTAGCAAATTATCAACAAATGGTTTCATGTAACTTACTGAAACATAGCTGACTGAAATGTAGAAAGTGATAACTACTTGATGATAAAGTTTTTAAAATTCTAAGCTGTCTTAAACTCACTGTTTAAAGAACACCTTAGAACTAGCAAATGTATCTGGATTTCAGAAGTTTTATTCTTGGCAAAGTGTATGTATTTCTCAGCACTCAGTTCTGGAGATACTCTCAGAGTACATAATTGTTTGGTTTAAAATGCAACAATCCCAATATGTTTCTTTTCAGTAGGCCCTACTATTTGATCTGCTGTTATGTCTGTAGGAAACAGTTCCTTTCCTTTTGCAGAATTAGTTCTAGTGTCTGGACTCTGGTTTTATCACGTGAACGTGAAACTTACAAATGAAAGCAGGCAGCATTAGTTGATTACTGATTGATACCCTCACTGGTGTACAAAATACCTTCTAAAGTCTAAACAGTTTTTTTTTAAATCAAAGTGGTACAATCCTGAGCTTCCAACTCCTTTCCATTGTAATTCCAAATTTACAATATATTTGTGATAAAGAAAGCCTGAGATCTGAACTAAACTGCCAGAGAAACATATCTGCTTCTTACCTTGAGATAATAGTAAGGATTGTTGAGTGCAGTGTGGAGGGCAACTCGGGGTGCCGCGTTCAGGTGCTCACGAAGGGCGGGGGCGGCACTGAAGTACACCACCTCGTGCAGGGGCTGAGCCTCTGGAGGCAGAAGGTATTCTCTGAAACAGCCCATGTCAGGTGTCAGGTTTCAGGTAAGCACAGGTTTATTTTCAGTGTGACATTTTTGACAATCATCTGTGGAAGACTTGAGGAATTAACTTAAAAAGCAAAATCAACTATAAAACAAACAAAACCCAAATATCAAATCTAGTGCAGGTTTACTCAGAATTGTACCTCTTCCATACAGTATTTTTAAAAATAAGTATGAGAAACTATTTCAGTTTTGATTTAAGCTTTTAAAAGGGACAAATGTACATAAATTACATTTCTGCTAAAAACCTTTAAGGTAGAATTTCTTTATTAATGAGTAAGTAAATTATTTAGAAAACTGAGATACCACATCCCTTTCCAGAGCAGACATTTAATTCTTGGCAATCTTAAACATAGGCCTTAGACCTGGAATTAAGAGTTTAGGAAATTCTTCTGGATGACAGAAGATGATTTAATTGATATCTTTTCCTATAAATGATACCTGGAAAGTTCTTTATATGTTGGAATCACTTTTTAGAAGGCAGAAATGGCTAAATTTTAGTTTCAGAGTATTGAAAACAAGAAAATTGATCATTAAAATTTCAATTACTAGAAAAAGCTGTTAACTTGGGCTTCTGAGTTAATGATAATGAGCCCATCGGCTGGCCTGGGCCATGGTGATTACGCAGTTTTGGGCGACCTGGAGGTTAGCAAACTGGAAGGGAGAGACTTTGGCACCAGCATCCCAAAGACATAATAAGTCACTAATTCAATGAAAGTGGTTAACTCACATGCCTTCAGGAAGATTCTTGGGGCTTAGTCCAGTCCTGGGATTTATTTTGGCCACATGACAGATTTTTTCCACCAGTACAGGCAAAACAAAGTAGCTACCTTGGTCCAGACACCGGGGGAATTACCTTTCTTGGAGTCCTCGCTACCTTTTTTTTTTCTTCTATGCAATAAGAGAAATGCTAGTTACTTATAAACTTTTGTATTTTGTAGAGTAACAGAACTGACCTAATTGTTCTGCTTTTACTTACTGTTAACTGGGGGGTTAGATCATGTACTTATTTTGACCTGGCATGTATGCAGAACTGGGTTGGCTGAGCCCTGTGGGATCAGAATGCAAGGAACTGAGGGGAACGTAGAGCAGTTAGTTGCTTTTCTGGAGGAACTTTTCAAGTATGAAATCATTTATGCTTTCCAAAGGACAGGGCATTAAAAAAAAAGCTTACAGTACCAAAGGTGTAAAAACATCGCAGAAAGTTGACATGGACGGTTAGGCAAATAGACAGCTTGCTAGTCCCCCATGACCCACCTCTGCCCAGTCCACAAGGTTGATCAGCCTGCTGTACTCCAGGTGCAGCTTATATGCGATGCAGATGTCGGGGGCAACATTTGGAATGCAGCCTTCTTCGCTTTTCAGTGCTTCATTCTAAAAATGACAGTAAATCTACGATGAATATCTTGTTAGAAATGATAAGGAAATTTTGTAAGCCAGTAAATGGAGTCTTTGGTTTCCTTTATTTAGGGAGCTGCGTTTAGTCTGCAGCAGTTAGCTAGTTCTTGTTCAGTATAGGTCCTAGTCAGAAGAATACTCCCATCAGAAGGAAAATGTGTTTTTCATTTTAATCACATTAATTTTTGAGACCCTAATGGGCTTGTTTCCATAAAGTTTATGGAATTATCTGTGGATTTTCAATAAAATGCCACTACCAACATTTTTAATTACCTGAATTCTAGCAGTGACTATACTAATAAACACCAGCACACCATTACAAGGGCTCTAAGTTAGCTCTCAAAGAAAAGACTGTGGTGTTAACATCGCAAATCTTATACCTACAAAAACTTTTTTTTCTTCAACTTGTGTGAAACTCATCATTCTTAGAAAATTTCTCTCATACATATGGAGATTATATATCCTCACAAAGATTGCTACACATGTAACAGTTCTGTCTTCTGTGACCCACCACTAGCCAAAAGGACTTTTAATTTATGGATATTTGGCTTTTAATATGACATTATTCAAGCTATCTACTACCACCAAGATTGAAAACCACTGATCTATCTCTTCCTGCTCAGTATTTGCTTGTAATGTTAGTTTGGGCACCATTTTAGAACAGGAATCTGGTACATTGGAACACTTCATAGGTTTTATGGAGTGACTTAAGTAACTTTGTGGCAACATTTATAGGCACTTAACAGCTGATAACTTATTAACCAATTAATGTTAACTTCCTAGCAAATTATCAACAAATGGTTTCATGTAACTTACTGAAACATAGCTGACTGAAATGTAGAAAGTGATAACTACTTGATGATAAAGTTTTTAAAATTCTAAGCTGTCTTAAACTCACTGTTTAAAGAACACCTTAGAACTAGCAAATGTATCTGGATTTCAGAAGTTTTATTCTTGGCAAAGTGTATGTATTTCTCAGCACTCAGTTCTGGAGATACTCTCAGAGTACATAATTGTTTGGTTTAAAATGCAACAATCCCAATATGTTTCTTTTCAGTAGGCCCTACTATTTGATCTGCTGTTATGTCTGTAGGAAACAGTTCCTTTCCTTTTGCAGAATTAGTTCTAGTGTCTGGACTCTGGTTTTATCACGTGAACGTGAAACTTACAAATGAAAGCAGGCAGCATTAGTTGATTACTGATTGATACCCTCACTGGTGTACAAAATGCCTTCTAAAGTCTAAACAGTTTTTTTTTAAATCAAAGTGGTACAATCCTGAGCTTCCAACTCCTTTCCATTGTAATTCCAAATTTACAATATATTTGTGATAAAGAAAGCCTGAGATCTGAACTAAACTGCCAGAGAAACATATCTGCTTCTTACCTTGAGATAATAGTAAGGATTGTTGAGTGCAGTGTGGAGGGCAACTCGGGGTGCCGCGTTCAGGTGCTCACGAAGGGCGGGGGCGGCACTGAAGTACACCACCTCGTGCAGGGGCTGAGCCTCTGGAGGCAGAAGGTATTCTCTGAAACAGCCCATGTCAGGTGTCAGGTTTCAGGTAAGCACAGGTTTATTTTCACTGTGACATTTTTGACAATCATCTGTGGAAGACTTGAGGAATTAACTTAAAAAGCAAAATCAACTATAAAACAAACAAAACCCAAATATCAAATCTAGTGCAGGTTTACTCAGAATTGTACCTCTTCCATACAGTATTTTTAAAAATAAGTATGAGAAACTATTTCAGTTTTGATTTAAGCTTTTAAAAGGGACAAATGTACATAAATTACATTTCTGCTAAAAACCTTTAAGGTAGAATTTCTTTATTAATGAGTAAGTAAATTATTTAGAAAACTGAGATACCACATCCCTTGCCAGAGCAGACATTTAATTCTTGGCAATCTTAAACATAGGCCTTAGACCTGGAATTAAGAGTTTAGGAAATTCTTCTGGATGACAGAAGATGATTTAATTGATATCTTTTCATAGAAATGATACCTGGAAAGTTCTTTATATGTTGGAATCACTTTTTAGAAGGCAGAAATGGCTAAATTTTAGTTTCAGAGTATTGAAAACAAGAAAATTGATCATTAAAATTTCAATTACTAGAAAAAGCTGTTAACTTGGGCTTCTGAGTTAATGATAATGAGCCCATCGGCTGGCCTGGGCCATGGTGATAACGCAGTTTTGGGCGACCTGGAGGTTAGCAAACTGGAAGGGAGAGACTTTGGCACCAGCATCCCAAAGACAGAATAAGTCACTAATTCAATGAAAGTGGTTAACTCACATGCCTTCAGGAAGATTCTTGGGGCTTAGTCCAGTCCTGGGATTTATTTTGGCCACATGACAGATTTTTTCCACCAGTACAGGCAAAACAAAGTAGCTACCTTGGTCCAGACACCGGGGGAATTACCTTTCTTGGAGTCCTCGCTTTCTCCTCTCCTGGAGAGGATGCCACTACCTATGAAATCCCACACCTGCCCCACCTGTGTAGTCAGTAGCTTTGAGGAAAAGGAGTGAAGACGATATTAACCATGTCTGTCACTTGTCACCATCTCTCTCCCTCCCTTGTCTCAAGAGCTCCTGGTCCCCTGCTCAGTCTTTTGGATGCTACTGCTTCCCCAGAGTCAACTGGAACAAAACTTATTTGCAAAGAGTGTGTGATTTTTGACTTGGCCCTAAGGACCAGCATTTTATACCTCAAATATTGCTAACATCTTTCTCAAGGTTGAGTTAATTTAGCTGTAGCCTCAGGAACGGTTTCTGTAATGCTGACTGCCTCTCTAGAAGTCATTTGTAATTTCTGATTATAAACTCTTCCTATCCCAACCTCAGCCCGTTTCTCCCTAATGACTGTCTGTAGAAGACCTTATATAAGTCCCTGCTATGGACTGGAAATCTAACAAGGCACCCAGCTAAGAATTAATATCAGAAGAACTTTTATCTCTCATTTGTTTTCCTACCCCTTTTTAACATCTTTATATCTAATTTTTACAAATTCAGGTAATTCCCAAGGCAAAAGGCCTTTCTAGATACCCTCAAAGAATCTCCATCATAGGCAAGATTATTAAATATCTGTCTATATTTCATTTCCCCTGAACTATGTTAGTTGAACACAGTGACAAAACATCCTACATTAAAATTTTTGTCCAACTGCAAACTTGGAGATTGACATAGAAATATACTGCAACATATTTGCTGCGAGAAATAAGCAATGAATGCGGCACTAGGGCACTGCATGATGCTCATGGATTCAGACTGGAGTTCACAAACAAAACAAGTGCTTGGAGGGGGACTGGTAGATCCACTTAGTGTCCACCAAACCTACCAAGTAGAAGCCTGTATTTTAGTGAAAATGGTAACTTAGAAAGTGGCAACTTACTCTTCACTCTTCGTAGCTCAGCAAGAGCTGCTGATGGTATCTGGGAGCCTGTCTCCTGGAGTCTACTGCTTGTGTTTATCTTTAAAGGACATTTTTCCCTCCAGAACTCCAGCTCTGTTCAAACAACGGATGTGGTTCTTGAGGACATTGTGGAGAAGAAATAGGGCCTTTTGACAGATGTCAGCACACTAGGACTGTGTGACTTTTTACAAATAGACTCTGGGCTTTAGCTGTCTGACAAATGACTTCCCAGGTCCCTCCAACATGCTACAATCTTAATCTCTTCCTGGGGTAGTCAGTCTTAGTAAATAAAATAGAACCTAGAATGGAAAGTTTTGTGATTGTTCTGCAATCACAACGCACATGCTCAACACACTTCAGTCCTCCTCAGCTTTATTTCAGTAACTGCTCAAGGGCAGTTAAAAGTCACAGGTCAAAGATCCTGAAAGGAGAATGGCTGTTTGGTTTAGAGCCTGCATTTGGGGATTAGTGGAACTCAGAAAGGAACCTGACTTTTGGCCTATAAATTATGCCAAATTACAACACTGCAAAATTATTTTTAGCAACTACAGTGGTCACAGCTCGGTAAAAGGGAAGATCCAGTTGGCCTAGAAACAACAAGAGAAGGAAAGCCCGAGCCGGTATGGCAGGGACAACTCTGGGTTATGAAAGGTCATTTCTGGCCAGTAGGTCAGTTTAATATTGTAGTACTTTTATATGATACCAATTCTCACTTTCTCACTTTAATCTTCCTTTTGTCACACTTGGTTGATCATTTGGACCTCTGATGACATTAGTAGATTCTCCCCAGTGACTAGGGACAATGACTCTGCCCCCACATTGTCCTGAAAAATGAACTTTTCACTTTGAAGGACAGGTAATTTACCAGAAAACCATTCCTTTGTCTTCAGTAATTGAACTGCTACATTTTGTACTTCATTCTGTTCAGTGCTAGCTTGCTACTGACTTTGAATTGCCATAAAAAAAAAACAATAGAATAAGCAATGGTAAGTTTTTTCCTGCTTTTTTAACTATGAAATCATTTTATTTTCCACACTTCTCTTTTTTGCTATATAGTATGTTCCAACTGCCTGAAAGGCAGCTTTGGTGAGTGATTTTACACAGCTGCTTAAAGCTGGCTCTTGGAAATCCATGATCTTGGTTTCACAAAAAGGAATCATCTTAAAATACAGGCAGGACCAGTGGCTTTCTAAGTTTACCATTAGTATATTTAACAACATGAAGTTGGTGCTGATAATGAGTTGTACTTTAAAAGTAGCAGTCCTTTACACAGGATAAAACAGGGCATTACAGTCTATTTGTTCTATCTGTTGGGCTTGGCCCAGGTCCAGCACAGTCCTAGCAAAGACAGAGCAAGGATAAAAGTGCAGTGCAAACCCTCTGCTGCTGGGTGGAAAACAGTTCTGACTCTGCCTAATAAAGTAGGTCAGACTAAACCTGGGTTCTTGAATTGGCAGTATAAAGGAATGAACAAAGGTCATTTGATTAGACATTTATGCTGTATGAAGGGACCTGAAAAGCACAAAGCCTAATCTAGGAGAAAATATCCTGAATTGCTTATGGACAGCTTTCACAGCAGTGTTATTGGGGAAAACAGCCTGATTTTTAGCTCTTAGGAGCAATAGACTCACCTCACCAGGCTGTCAATAAAGTTCACAACTTTTTCTCTGAGTACTTCAAACTTGGTCTGCTGCTTGCTTGTTCTTCTTAACTCCTTCATTTCCAGTAAGGACTATAGATGAAAGAACATAATTTTTTTGATGATTTTTGAGACAGAAAAACCCTTAGAGTGGAGCTGTATTTCTCAAGCAGAGGCAGCTGATCTTCAGAGAAAGAACCAGATGTGAATGGATTGTGTTTATTTTTAAGGTCTGGGAAGAATCTCGCCTCCTAGGTGTTTTGCTCAAAGGTTTATCAGTTGAATTTTTAGGGAAAGAAGAAAAGGGCAGTTCATGCAATTACTAAGTTATATGGCAGAATGGTCACTACCCACAACCCATTATTACTTCATTTAAGGACTTACAAGAAAAATAAAAACTCTTGCCCTTTTGCCATACCAACAGAACAGATTCCATGTGTTCCGTTTTGCTTACACTGAAATTTTACTCTTTGTTCACAACTTTGTGTCATGGCACAAAGAAGGTTCTTAACATTGACAACCAAGATCCTGAAGTCAGAACTATCTGAAAAAGGATATTAGACATACTGTGGCTCAATTCCTGCTATAGACTGAATATGCATTAAAAAATACAAAGTATCTAAAAACTAATGAATTAGGTTCTTTTGGATATTTCGGTTTGAGGAAAGACAAAAACAAGTCAGATAAATAATCAGACTCCTTTTTGCAACCAAGTTCTCATTTTCCCTTATTACCAGTTAATTATCTTTCTCTGAGGCTACAGGAACAGTTCCCACCTATGTTGGCTAGTAGATTGCAGACTGCATCCCGGAAAATGAGGATGGCAGTGGGATATTCAATTTATAAGTGAGTTACAAAATGTGCTGTGTTCCTGATTGTGGCTTAAAAATGCAAACAAAACATGCAGGCAGAGCTGATCTAGAACACACACCGCAAGAAGGGGAGCATCACAGGATGCAGTTGGAAGGAAAAGAAAGTAACCTGACCTTCTGGAGATGGTAGAGGTCTGTCTTCTGAAGCCCCTTGGACTGTGACCCAGAAGTATCTTCTTCCTCTTTGGCTTCTGCTTTTAATACAAAAACAATAATACTGCAACTGGTAAATCCATTCAAGTCAAAAACAAACATTTCTACTAGTCCAAGGGAAATAGCTTCATCTATTTTTTGTTTTTAATGTGGCGAAGGATAAGATCCCATCAGATAAATGATTTCTTCCAGAAGCTGAAGGTCAATCAAAAAGACATAAGTTATGTTGCAGAGAGGTCTTCAAAAAAAAATCAGCTGCTGAACTTTAAAAATATGACCGTAAGAAAATCAATACAAACACACATAACACCTCAAACAAGCAGAAAGCTTCAGATCTATGTGCTAGTGTAAACAGCTTTAAAAAACATTTAAACTGTATTCCTCTGACTGTGACAAGACTGTAAACAACACAAGCATACACCCTGGCAAACTTGGTCTTCACCTTCCAATTCACTATTTTTGTTACAACACTAAGTATGAAGAAGGTAGTGCACAGAAGTTCTGAAATAATCTAAAAGTGCATCACGGTTCTTTAAGCAAAGGAAAAGAAAACCGTATCTCTTAAAAAATATGACTGTGCAGCATACTAGACAGCACGAGGCTCATACCCTCTCTCCAGTGCAGGGCAGGTTTTGGGAACTTCACATTCACACGGCTTATTTGGCCTAAATCTTAAGACAGGAAGATGCAGCTGGAGAATCTTCATTGTTCTCAAAGAATAAATTTTTTCGCTATGAATAATTCTTGGTTCAAGAGAGATACAATTTAATGATAAAATATCTAATAAATTCTTTGTAACATTTCATTAACATGTAGCAGAGCTTTAAATATAAATCTGATAGGACACATTGCCCTTTTTAACTCTGCAAATGTCGTTTTAAATCCAGATGTATATGAAATAACTGCTAAGGAACCAGAGATAGCATAGTGAAATACTTCTACTTGCCCAATATAGGGAAGAGTTAATTTCACTTTCTTACTAACAATGTGTCACATTTCAAAATAGAGAAATAAATTTATATCTTCAAGACATTGTTTTACAGTCTTCATCTCCAATCTTCCTATTTCCAATACTTTATTTAGTATTAGCATATTGCAGAATTTGTTCACTAGCTTATGTTACATAAACTCTAAGTCAATATTTGAAGTTTCACTTTACAAAAATCCCTGAGTACAATTTTGTAAACATTGAAATTTACCTAATTTATCTTATATTCAAGTCTTTTACCCCATGTATGTCCTTAAAGGTGGCCCTTCACTGTCCTAGTGACTACAATTAGGAAGCATTTAAACTGAATCAGTGAGAAAAAGACCAACAAGCTGGGGTTAAGAGCGCTGGGCTCTCGTGTGGGCGCTCCCACCAGCCTCAATGATCTCTATGATACCAATTTCCAGCCCTTTATAATTTTTGTGATTTAAAAAGTGGTTCAGCTCATACTGTAGTGCAAAAGAGCAATGCCCACACATGACCTGGAGGGAACCCCCTTAGTACTGTGGAGTTCTTCCTCATTCTGGCTGCTCACGCCACTTCTTCTTCCAGGGACTAAGCACTCATCTAGCATCATCCTAGCACTGCAGCTACAGAAAGTATAGAAGGATTTCAGCAAAAGCAGTTTCCTGAATCCAAGGATTTCCAAGACAAAGGAACACTTGCCAAACAGAAAGGATTGATAATGTGCATTCCAAGTGAAATATTTTTAGTGTGCCACATCCAATCTGTGTGCTTATACACCAAGCTACCTCTTTTTCCCAAACTCCATTAAAAATTCCCCTAAATAGGGGAAGATAAAAGCTGCACATTCCTCTCATTTGACCAAAAGAATGCCACACCTCAGTGCTAGAAACAGAGCAAGGCAAGAGCCCATGAGAAATGGTTTTCATGAGAAAACCATTAGAAAACGAACATGGCTACCTATACACAATCAGACACCCCAGCATTCAGCAGATCTGAACGATCGTGTGGCAATCATGCAAAATCATTGAAACTGTAACCCTCCAACACTGAAATGCCAGGCTGCCTCAGTTCGTTGAGGTCTGAAAGATTCCAGCTTTCGTAAATCCAAGTAAAGCAAACCACATGCATATTTTGGTAATCACACCAAGGAGCCTCACTGCTGTGGAGGCAGTTCACAGTTATTAATTTTTCAGGCTTACAAATGACTGGTGCAGTGTCTTTGAAATGTATAAAAAACTTGATGAAATACTTAAGAAAAACATCTAAGAGAGTCCTTGATTATAATCCCCTGCGACTCTCTAACTTCGCTGCCTTTTTTTCCCCACCCACTTAATCTTTTTCATTGTTTAAATCAAATCTGGAAAGGAACCATTTTGGCTTATTGTGATTGTCAAGGCTGATATTCTAAGGCCTGATGTACTGACTGATCATGAACTATTTTATCTCTTCATCTCTCAGCACATCAGGACATTTTAGCTGAATGACTGTCACAGCTAGTGGAACTGGCAAAATATTATATGATCATCAAGCCTCACCATCAAGGCTCTGAAACTGGGCCAGGAACTCCTCTATTCTCTTTGCTGTGCTGCCAAGCTGCTTTTCGGAAGAGGACTTAAAAACCTTGAGACATTTCTGTAATATGGTCATCAGTTCTTCTTTTGCCAACATCCTGAAACAGAATCGGTGACAGGAGATGTAATATAACTAGAAAATTAATATACTTCAGAATTATTGTCCACATGTTAAATGTTTCTAGTCAGAAGATGTTGTAAATTCTTCATTAGTAGCTACCAACTTTTTTGGGAGAGATTTTCCTCAATGAATGTGACATTCAGAAGTATTCAGAAGCATTCTCATGATAAAGCTCAACTTAGAAAATGTGCATAGCCTGGCTCTGGTACTTAATAATATGGAGTGAATTACTAAACATCTCTGAACCTTGGTTTCCTTGTCTATAAAATGCAAACTGGAATTCATGTATTTCACAGGTTTGATGGAGGCTAAACCTTAAATAAGATGATGCATCTAGCACAGTGCTTACCACACAGCAGGCATTTGAGGTTAGTTGCCCTTTCCTTCAAATCTAAATACGAGTCTGAGATGAGAAACATAAAGAACATATGCTAACTGAAAGCTTGCTTGAAAGGACCAAAAAAGTATCGCAATCATTTCTCTAATTATTGCCACATCTTTTTTGGGCTTTATAAACTTAAGTCAGTAAATCCACTGAACTTTAAAATGGTAGGCAATTCTGCTTGTTTTATAGCACAGGTAGAATGGTTGTGTAACTCATTCAAGGCAACAGAGGAAATCTTGTTAGAAACAGAGACAGAGCACAGATATTCTAAGGTTAGGATCCTGTTTCAGAGCTGATTTCTCCACTAAGATCTTATTAGTAACAGAATAGAATGGAACTGGGCCAATATTAGTAATTATTAAGTGACATGACACAAGTACACAAATTATTTTCAGCAAATTGACATAAATCATGATGGCTGGTGATTTAAAGTTCTTATATTAATCATGAAACAACCAGGCAAATACAGATTGTGGGCCATTCTGCAAGAAAATTTTGTTAACATTTGACATATTTCATAATAAAATAATCTGAGAAAAATACTATATTATATAGTACTAAGGAAAAAAGTATAAAGCTAATAAGTACAGTATGACTACTGATAAATTAATCTGGTTAGTTCAACTAAAATTTAAACCCAAACCAAAAAGTAAAAATTATCATACAGCCAATAAATACAGAAACTGGTAGGGGTGGACAAAAGGTAAATTTTCCCCTAGTTCTAAGAAACAGTATAAAATCTTCGCAGCCTCTCTCTACAACAATGAAATAATTATCCAAAATGTAACCTTTATCTGTGAATGAAAGGCAACTAACACGTCAAAGAAAACTAAGCCAGCACATTAAATTCTTGATTACATTTGAGATTATTTAAAACTTCTGGCTTTCTATCGCCCTATTAAACTGTTGAGAGTTAACTCAAGGTCAGACACACACGAACAATCTGTTACATGTGACCTTTAGCCCTACTCAGTAGACAAGGTCAGCATTTCCAGCGTCCAAGGGATCATAGGCACTGGCTTGCTGGGAGGAGCTAAGAGGCTGGGACCATGCTGTGGGAGGCCTTCCCTGTACCAGTAGCACCCCGAGGGCCTCCTAGGCTACAGGCACACACCTTGGCATCTGTTTACAGCTCACAAAACTGATTATCAAGTAACATGAAGCCTGGCCTATCCCTCATTTTCGGGTTCAAGAAAAAACAGCATTTTGTCATACGATTTTGAGACAAAGGTTATTAATCATAACATTTCACGTGGCATTTGATTGAGGGCATAGATCTTTCACCTGAGATGTGAACTTCCAGGGATTCAGACAGCTATTACTCTTCATTCTTAGCTAATGATTATGTTCTTGTTTCTAGAGGAGCAGAAGATCTTACACTTTCCCAAGTATTCTCTGGCTTAGTATAAAACAACACTTGCAGTAAGGCTTCTTAGAGCTAATAATGTGATCAACCCAATAAAGTAATTCAAATTTTTTTCAATTAAATTATATATACCCACAATTAAATTATATATACCCATATTATTTAATTTAACATCATTCTAGAGTCCAGTTGCTACAATGAATTAAGAAAAAAGTGGTATAAACATTAGAAAGGAATATATTTGTATATGATGTGACTGTAAGGTTAGAAAATCTAAGAGAAATGGACAAGTATTAGAGTGTAAAAGGGTGTGTGGATATAAGCAATATATATGGTGCTTGTATACACACATATTAATACCTTACATGTACATGTAATCAATGTTTTAAACTATGTCATGGAGAAAAAAAGCATGTTTATAATAGCAACAAAAACTATAGAAAACACAGCAATATACTTATAGCAAATGAATAAGACTTACAGAAAAAAGTGAAAGGCTTGAATAAATGAATAGACATTTTAAGTTCTAACCCTCAATATTATAAAGATATAAATTCATTTCAAGTTCATCTATACTTTTAACACTTTCTGGAATGAAATTCTGGGGGTATTTTTTTAAAAAACCCAATAAAACAATTCTAACATTTATCTGGAAAAATAACTGTTGTAAAAAAAAGGAACAATGTTTGTATACTTGAGTGTATATAGTGGGGCTATTAATAAATCAAAAGGTATAAATGACAGTAATTAATATCAAATGGTATTTGTATAGGAACAGACAGGCCAACAGAAGGTGTAAGAATCTTAGAGATCAAGAAATATACGGGACTCCGGAAGTACAAACTGCTAACAGTAGATGACTGGCTCTCAGTTACATAACACAAAGGGCATACTAATAGAAAAGTTTTATAATGGTTTCATTTAGATTACTGTTAGTGATTCCAACATGCTCTTTTGGACAAACCAAACCTAACTAAACACAATTAATTGAAAACAACTAAAAAATGAAAAATTTAACTTATCCTCCATAGTGTGTTATACATATGGCACCTCACAGAGAAAATTAAGGATTGAGTCTGGTCACCAGACCAGCACTTCTTAAACTGTGTTTTCAGAATGGGTTTCAACCATTAGTTAGTCATGAAACCATTCATTCATTCTATAAATATTTATTGAGTGCCTACTACATACCAGGCACTCTTCTGGGCATTTGGGATATACCTCAGTGAATCAAAAACCTCTGCCCTCATGAAACTCATTCTAACAGGGGCAGGTGGTGAGGCGACAGACAAACACAATCTATTTCATATTACTATGTATGTGTTAAAAATTAGAATATGTTAAAATATTGAGCAGAGTAAGGGAGGAGGGTTCCGGGGGACAGGTAGGTTATGATTTTAAAATGGTTATTAGGCCTCATCGAGAAGATGACATTTGACCAAACATGTGAAAGAGGCAAAAGAGAGTAAGGCATACTTTCCCAGCAGAGAGAATGACACATGCGAAGGCCCTGTGGTGCGTGTATGTCTGGCACGTTCAAGAACATGAAGGTCAAGGTGACTGAAATAGAGAGTCGGAATTCTCTGAAATCAGAGAAAGGCAAAGGGGGCTAGATCACGTAGGGTCATTGCAGAGACAGTAGCTTTTATGCTGTGTGAAAAGGGAAGTTAGTGGAGCGTTTGGGGCAAAGTTATGATGTTATATGACAAATTATAAAAGGGTTATTCTGACTGTTTTTTTGAGAAAAACTTCTAGGTGAGCTTGTGTGGAAGCAAGGAAACCAGTTAGGTAGGAGGCTGTCAATAATCCAAGTGAGAGATGAACAGTGACTTAGACAATGGTGGTACCAGTGAGGGAAAGTGGCAAGAGGTTTGATTCCTGAGATATTTTGAAGGCAGAACCCAGGTTTTTTGGCTTTGAAAAGTTAGAAGGATGGAAAGACCACAGGAAATTTTAGGTTTTGGAAATCAGGATTCCGGTTTTTGAACATGTCAAACCTTGAGACTATGTATCAGATATCCAAGAACAGGTGTTAAATAGGTAGATGGGCACAACAGTCTGGCACTGAGAAGAGAAGTGTGGGCCTTTAACAGCCCTGGGCACTGTCCTATCCAGATTTCAGGAAGAGGAGAACCACCGAAGAAGCTGAGAAGGAGCATGCACTGAAGCAGGAGGGAAACCAAGAGAGCCTGGCTTCTAGACATCACTAAGGCAGGAGTGACGAACTGTGTTAAATGCAGGTAACAGGTTAACACATTAAGACGGAGAACTGACCGTTAGATTTAGGAGCATGGAGGTCACCGGCAACTCGGATCAAAGTTTTGATAGAGCACAGAAATCAAATCAGTTAAATAAACAGAGAACAGAGGAAAGAAATTGGAGACAGTGTAACGATGCTTTTGAATTTCGGAGGATTCCATCTAGCCCTTTGCTTTAAAATAGAACAAAATTGAAAAGAAAATAACATTAAAAAACATATGAAAGCCACCACACTAAATTACTTTTTTCAAAAAAGAAAGGAAAAAGCCCACCTAAGGTCACATTAATGCCGAAAGAACCATTTACTCTTTTTTTTTTTTGACATTTTTGGTTTTATTTTATTTTGATATCATTAATGCACAATTACTTGAACAACATTATGGTTACTAGACTCCCCCTATTATCAATTTCCCACCACATATCCCATTACAGTCACTGTCCATCAGCGTAGTAAGATGCTATAGAGTCATTACTTGTCTTCTCTGTATATACTGCCTTTCCCGTGTCCCGCCTCCTGCTACATTATGTGTGCCAATCATAATGCCCCCTTTTTCCCCTTATCCCTCTCTTCCCCCCCATCCTCCCCAGTCCCTTTCCCTTTGGTAACTGTTAGTCCATTCTTGGGTTCTGTGAGTCTGCTGCTGTTTTGTTCCTTTAGTTTTTTCTTTGTTCTTATACTCCACAGATGAGTGAAATCATTTGCTACTGTCTTTCTCTGCCTGGCTTATTTCACTGAGCATAACCCTCTAGTTCCATCAGTAATAAACATTTTTTTTTTTTTTGAGAGGGCATCTCTCATATTTATTGATCAAATAAGAACCATTTACTTTTAACTAACGACCGATTATGTCACTATTAGGTAAATGACTCCAAAAGGCTTGGGATAATCAAGTGTTCAAAGCTTTATAGGTTGTCATAATAAAAGTTTCCTTAACTAAAGAAAATCATTTAGTAATCACTAAAAGCA